CTACCGTCGTAAAGTCGAAACATCACCCTCGTCGTCAGGGACTGTCTGAATACTGAAATGTCACCAATAGTTACTCCTGGCGGGGTGGCGTCACTAATTATTTTTGCTTTATTATTTTTGCTTAATACATAATTTTCAGAATATCTACAATTAACTTATATTGTTTTTATCATAAGAAAACGTTTTAAAGATAACAAGTATGTTCAGAAGGAAAACAAAGGGCTTGCACTCGGAGTGAAGGGATTCATCAGCTCCTTTTCAGAGCCCAGGTCTTGCCAAGGGGCTGGGAGAGGCCAGCACCAGGCTGGGAGGCAGAAAAGGGCAGCTGAGGGCTGACCTCCTTCCTGAACCCTTTACTCCTCCAGGACCTGTGTCGGGAACTGCACGCCAAGGTGGAGGTGGTGGACGAGGAGAGATATGACATTGAGGCCAAATGTCTGCACAACACCAGGGAGGTGAGCTGGGGTGGAGGTGCACAGCTGGTGCAGGCTGGCTGGCTGGGTGGGGTCTGGGGGAGGTCCGGTGGGCATGGCCATGGCAGCTATGGACCAGGTCTCTCTCCTACTGCTGGGTCCGGGCAGGCACTTATCAGGAAGCTCTGGTCCCTGCACTCCAGTCCCCCAGGGCTGGGATGGGCAGAGAGCAGATGTCACACAGGTGAAAGGCACAAACTTCCTCCTGCCTGCCACGCGGACTCTTCAGTGGACGAGAAGCCGCCCGCTAGTCACCCCACAGTCACGTGCCCGCTAATAACGTCTTGCCTTGTGTGTGGCTTTCACGGGCGTCTTTCCTGTGACCCTCCCTGCGTGCCTTAGACGGAGTGGGTGCTTTTGCCTGACAGATGAGGACGCAGGCTCAGAGACTCAGAAACTCGGCTCGGGTCACACAGTGGAGGTCCTGGGCTGGGCCTTGTCTCTGGCCCCCGACTCCAGGGCTCGGGGCTTCCTGGCACTGGATGCAGGGGGCCAGCTCCACCCAGACCCAGCTCTAGTGGGGTGGGCGGAAGGCGGGGGGGGGCAGAGCTCCTGCAGTTGGAGGCGGCAGCTTCTCAGCACCTGTTTCAGCAGTGAGGGTGGTGGGGTGGGCCCAGAGCCACTTCGTCCTCCCCACTCCTCCCGATCAGGAAGGATGGGCTGTGGGGCCACTGATGTCCCCAGAATTCCCTCCAGAGGTCGCACCCTGAAATCCCCAAGGGGGCTTGGACCTGGGGTCCGTCGGCCTCCTAGACCCTGGACCCAGGGGATGCCTTCCATGGCTGCTCTGAAGGCCCACTGGGAAGAGACTGGTTAGAAGCAGGAATGAGAGGGACTGGCCCCTCCACTCCAAATGGGGCTTCGGCACCACACTCTGCCCCTTCCCGTGTGGCAGCCGAGACGGCCAGCGGCCTTCCCTGTCCTTGTCCTGCTCACTCCTGTATCAACAGAACAGACTAGAGGTGGCTCTTTGCAAGGTGACCGGTGGGTCTGAGCATCCCCGAGGGTCTGGCCTGGAGAAGGGGGCCCCGGAGCCCTGAGCCGCCCCCTCCCTGCAGATCAAGGACCTGAAGCTCAAAGTGCTGGACCTGCGCGGGAAGTTCAAGCGTCCGCCGCTGCGGCGGGTCCGCGTCTCGGCCGACGCCATGCTGCGCGCCCTGCTGGGCTCCAAGCACAAAGTGTCCATGGACCTGCGCGCCAACCTCAAGTCTGTGAAGAAAGAGGACACGGAGAAGGTGAGCCCTGACCCTCGCCCCACACAGCTCGGCTGGCCCTGCACCTCTGGGGGGGCCCAGTTGACCTGGTGGGACGTTCCAGAGCCTCCCGGGGAGCCCAGGGGAGGCCTTAGCTTCCTGTTCTGCGAGGAGGAAGATGGGATTTCCCACCTTGCGGAAGAGGCTGACTCTCCACCACCCAGTTTCTCTTGCATGTGGAGGGCCCGGCTGGCCCCCAACCGCTAAGTCTCCCGTGTGTGGCGCCCACAGGAGCGGCCTGTGGAGGTGGGCGACTGGAGGAAGAACGTGGAGGCCATGTCCGGGATGGAAGGCCGGAAGAAGATGTTCGATGCGGCCAAGTCCCCAACCACCCAGTAGAGGTACGCAGAGGCTGGAGGGTAGAGGGACCCCAGGACAGGGGCCGGTGCGCTGGGCCACGTGGTGCGGAGGGAAGACCCTGAAATGGGCTCAGACTGTGGGCACATGTTCCTGCTTTGGGGCTCTTTGCTCCCCTCCCCTACGGAGTTGGAGTTGTGCCAGCTCACTGGTCCTCCGGGGGTGGTCCCGGTACCACCTGGGGTGCAGACGACCTGGCTGCACCCCAGGCCCACTGGATCAGAGACTCTGGGGTGGAGCCAGCCCCTGGGTGACTCTGATGCAAGAGCTTGGAGCCCGTGGATTCGATGACCCCAGGGCCCTCTAGCTCTGACTTTCTGAAAGTCTAAGGGGAGTCCTGCAAAGTCCCCAGAACTGGTCCAAGACCATCCATTCTCCGAGGATTTGCTAGAGAAAGCAGCAGGGTCAGGCCACGTGACGGCCTCTGTGGGTGTGTGGAGGGGACATGTAACTGTCCGACAGACGTCAGTCAGACAAGCCCTCTGGAGGGGTGAGCTCTCTGAGGATGTGATGGGTGGAGGGTCGCAGTTGCCGGGAGGGTGTGTCAGAGCTCAGAGGTGGGGATCAGTCCGACGTGGAGGGGATGCCAGGCGGGGCCAGTGTGTGGGGCGGAGCCGTGTTGAGGGGCTCTTGGGCTCTGGGCTGAGAGCTGAGGCAGTGGGAGCCCCTGTGGACAGTGGTTCTGCCAGGTGCTGGGGTGAGAAGGCCCGGGACTGTGTGTGCTGCGGGCGAGTCACTTGGGTCACTGGGAGCAGATGGCTTCTGCCTCTCTGTCTCTACAGGCAGCTGGTCAAGCTGTGCCCTGGGCTCCCTTCTCACTTCTCCCTCCGGCTTGGCTCACCTACCCAGCCTGCGTCCTGCCTGCACTTCGGAGCATCCCACCCTGTTCCCTCTCCTCCCCTCCAGCCTGAGTGCCCTCCCGCGGGACTGGGGCTAGCAGACGCGCGGGAGGGGGACAGCAGCATCTGAAGACCTCACCTGGCCGGTGGGCTCCCTGGGGCTCCCGGCCCGCCGTGGCGCAGCCAGGCTGAGAGGAGGCGCCGCACCCCTCGCGATGCACGTC